GAGGGGTTGTTCACTGGAGATGACCTGAAACACCGCAAAACAACCATATTTCTCAATATCGAGGATCATTCCAACTAAATGCAATATTGATGAATCCCGAAAATTACGTTTTGATATAGAAAATATCGATTAACGCAAAAATCATAAGGGCGAGAATTCTTCGTGAACTCTTCGACCAATCAGAAATTCGATCAGAGGAAATGTCGTATATCTATTCGGGCAAGAGACGATAACATTATTTTCAATCTCTTCGTTTATATCAGGCCGCCTACTAGTAATTAAATACTATAAATATAGCAACTTGTTTGATCTTGGCATTTAAGTTGTTGGGTAGGACCTTCTCATAAAATGCTACAAAGTATGCACTGAAACGTTGGGAAGAAGCTTTCTAACATGGGTGAAAATCGTGGGGCACGCGTAAGCTTTCTGGAAGTAGGGTGAGGGTGAAACCGAGAGATGAGGGGTTGCCTGGGATAATCAAATGGAAAGATGCGAATTGCGCGCCCGGGCTCATATTTATACCGCCCTAATCGCAGGAATCGTAATGCTGGATTTTCTATGAACAATAAAGCCGATTTCACACTATCCGACGAATTTTTTTCCATCAATGAATTTCATTTGTCCAAGTGCCAACAAACTCAAGAGATTTTGGGCCACTTTATTTGACAATGCTCAAGCTTCAAGGTTACTTGGTTATTTGAGAACGTTGTTATTAGAGATTCGCTATTGAAACTTGAGGTTCGAACACCGTTGCCATCTCGTACATAGTAAATGGATAAAATAAGAAATTAATACTTTAAAAATGAGAGAAGTACTATGAAGAACGGCGTATGATATTCAATCTTCTTCAAGGTAAATTATATAAATTATTAATTCCAAATACGATAAAGTAATCTATTTTTTTTATTCCATTATTTTTTAAGTGGCAACGCTGGAATTTTTATTAAAGCCTGATCTATTGCACATTGTTTTACAATGAAATTTTCCACACCGTCAATTTCACAAAACCCGAAATTTTTCTATTATTTACAATTCATATAAAAAGGTATGTCATAACTTTATTGATCTTTAACATTTCATGTAAATTGTCTTAGAATTTCTTTGTTTTTTTGTAATTTTGATTAACCTATTTCTTTGCATTTCGATATGAAAAATACGATGAAATTTTTTTACCGATTACTCATTTTTGAAAATTGCAACCTAACCACCACCCCCTCCCTCCCACATTATATTTGATAAGATCCATTTGATATTTACCCCTTCAATATGAATTTCACTAATTAATGTGAGTCCCCATAGATGGCAATTCAATTCACGAAATGGGAGTACCTACCCTATAATTAGAAGTCCCTAAAAGTATTAGTACTCTAAGATCATGGTATTGTCGGAAACTGAATTACTTTCACGTAATTAATATGGGTCCTCATAGATGGCAATTCTATTCACGAAATGGGAGTACCTACCCTATAATTAGAAGTACCTAAAAGTATTAGTATTCTAAAATCATGGTATTGTCGGAAACTGAATTACTTTGAACGTATCGTGTGAGATCGGCTTAACTAGATCTGCAGATGGTGGTTGCTACGTAACGTTACGTCAAAATGATACATTCAGTGATCATTTGCGAATTTCTATGATCAATAAAGATCGAAATGACGATATTTTTAATGAATAATTTTAAATGAGTAAAGTTTTTTCAATTGATTACATTTTATGTACGTCAGATCAAAGTTTTCGGAATAATAACTAATAACTAAAAAAATCACTTTAACATAGCGATAATAAACTCATTCTACATTATAACTTGTCTGATACTGAGTAACTTCATTATCGCAGTTCAAATATTCATCCTAGTTAAATTAAAAAAAAAACTGAAGTATCATGTCACTTCCAAATAACCCTATGTTAATGTCATGAACATTTATGGTGATAAAAGCAGTGAAAACCTCCTAGGCTTTCACTGTTATATTTAGAAAAGATATTTCGGCATATATATATATATATATATATATATATATATATATATATATATATATATATATATATATATATATATATATATATATATATATGGCTAGGGTGTATCAGAAAGAAATATATCAGAAGGGTTATATTTGAACTATTCCCTTCCATAAAGACTATATATTTCAGGATCCATCAAAGTCAACAACATAAGATGAATGGACATTTCTAATTGATTGATGATATCAAACCCTCCTAACTCTCATTATTTCGTTAAGCATTGCTCAAGTCCTACAAGTGAAACAGTCCAAGAAATATTTTCAAGTGATATCATTCTTTGAGATCAGAATCATAATGGTTGAAATAAATTCCTAAAGAATGAGAAGATATCTTGCAAGTTATTAAATGTACTGTCCAAAGTAATGACAAACACTTCTTATTATTATTTTGCTTTGAAGTTGGAATACAACATTGCTATAATAAATATGAATGAAAAAGTGAAGCATAGTTTCTTTGTTCAATGAAAAATAATGCAATTCCAAAGAACTTGATGGAAACTTGTAAACCAGTTAACCAAAATGTTATGTGTGGTTTATGTGCTATAATTTTCAAAAGTGAACTATAATTTTTGAGGTTCTCTCAGGAGCTCCCAACCGGGCCTGTATGCTGACAGGAGAGTCTGGCGCTTCCAAGTCAGTAGCAGATCTCTGTTAAAACTTCCAACAACGCAGTTGAAAGAAGGCTATAAATGAGATGAAGAGGCGTATGGGAGAAATACCGAACCTCATTCAAATTAAAAGATCACCATCTGAAATCCATAAACAGAATAACATTATCTGAAATGAAACCAATTACAATTTATCTCAAACTAATAATAATAATAAGAGTAATAGAGTCCTAATAAAATTTCAAAACTAATGTGTTTCACCGAGTTTCACATACTAGTGTTTACACGGATTTGTTCTCTTCTTGATGCTCCTTTTTTTCCACCTTCTATACTTCCTCAAAACGTTTCATCCTTTTGAGTCTTCTCAATATGCCATTTGGGCCAGTAGTTGCGTTACTTCGACGTTAATGTGATTATTAAGCCGCCTTTGGTGCCTAGGGCCTGTGTCTGACCAGTGAGACCAGTCACTAAGGAACGTTGACAAGTACCCAGTTCTGAAATCTGTGAATTATTTCAATATTGCTTCAGCAGGGTTTCCCCTAAAGTTCTATGCCATATGCCCATTTAGGAATTACAACTTTGTGTAAATAATAAGCTTACTTGATTGGTTGTCTACGTGATAGCCAATATAATTTTCTATGTTTCATTTTTAATTCATTGTTTCATTATTATTTTTTTAAATTTCTCTTTTAGGGTTTGGGCGATATTGTTAAATCTGTTTTTATTGATTGGCGTTTTATTTTTCTGCCATTGTTTCCACAGCCATTTTTTCTTTGATACAGGGTTTCTATTTTATTCCAGGTTGACGGTTTGATTTTTGTTCAAACTTCACATGCGCGATTTTATAGCGACATTCAGTGCGATCTTCGAGATTTTTTATATTGATCTGTTGGACCTCTTTCAGCCACTCTGTTCCGTATTTACTCTTTATAAATATATCGAGTAGTTTCTTCGGTATTCTGGACTATTTTTTTCTGTAAACATGTCCGACAAGACATTCTGACTGAGGTCTTTTCATCCATATGCCTTTTCTATTGATCGGCCTCTAGTTCTTTCTAAGAAATTTCCATTCTTGTTTTTCTATTTCTCTAATTCTTGAATGACCGTCAATAACCATTGTTTCAGCTGCGTAGATGGCTTTTGGAAGAATCGTAGTGTTATAATGCCTCAATTTGGCGCCTCTCGAAATGCACTATTTGTTATAGTACGCCCATAGAAGGCACAGTTGTAGGCCCTTTGGAGCTTGTTAATTCACTTACAAACGAGCAACGATTGAAAATTCTTGAAATTTACTATCAAAATTCGTGCTGTGTGAAAAATGTGTGTCGTTTGTTACGACAATATTATGGTCGTCATAATCGATCTGGTGAATCAACATTTCGTGCTGTTATCACCAAAATTTGCAATAAGTTCACTTTGATGGACATTAAACCATTGTCTCACATGCGTACTTTGCGTACTGAAGAGAATATTGCAGCCATAGCGTACAGTGTTAATGAGGATCGTGAAATGTCAATTCGGCGCCGTTCTCAGCAATTGGGCATGTTTTACTAAACCACATGAAAAATGTTACGCATTGATTTGGGTTTGAAAGCATATAAAATTCAACTTCTGCAAGAATTGAAGCCGAATGACCCACCACAACGTCTAATTTTTGATGAATGGGCCTTAGAACAGCTCAATGAAAATCCGCTGTTTTATCGAAAAAGTGTGTTCAGTTTTTATTTTTGTGATTGTCGTTTTATTTCTCTGCCATTGTTTTCACATTAATTTTTCTTTGATACAGAGTTTTTCAATTCAGCAGGGTAGTTATTTGCCGGGATTTTTCTTTTTACAGGTCTTGTGTTATTTAAAATCGTCTATGAACAGCATAACATGTCTTAATATCGGATGACTTTCCCATATTGAATGTCGTTTCCAATACATTTTGTAAATTTTCAAACATTGCTTCAGCTTTAGACTGTTCATGCTGAGTTGTCAAATCAAATTAACGCTAATAAACAACTAAAATCTGCCGAATTGACTGTCCTAGAAAACCGGGTAGCTAACTTCATTCAGAATTATATAAGATACCTGACAATTAGTATATAACAACCACTGTTATAGGTAGCTTCAACTGAAACAAATTAAAACTTATATCAGAATTTCCAATGCATTAAAATGGACAGCAAAAGCGTAAGAAGAAGTGAATACAGCAAAAAAATTGAAATATGTCTGAATATTGTGTCACTTTGGACCTCCTTCAATTTTTTTTTATTCATTGGATCTACAGTTTAACGCCAGTTCCGAACGGCAAATGGTCTTGTAATCAGTGTACATTACCCATTAATTATCATCATTTAACTATTTGAATCATAGACAATCACACCCATGCCTTCACCGGAGCTCGAACCCGAATCCTCCCGCACCATAGTCGGGTGTTTACCGGACTAAGCCACGAAGGCCGTCTATCTCCTTTAATCATAGTAAAATAAGCATTAATAATCGTAATGAACCAAAAATTTATATGGCTAATACTTTGGATTAAAAAAGATTCCAAAATCAAGTTTCAACAAAAAATATAAAAACTCGTTTTGAAAATTGATAATCAAAACAGAACATCCATTTTTTTCATGGACATACTCTTCGATATAAAGTGGTGAAGAACGTAAAGAAGTTTTGAGAGAAAGATACCAAGGATTTTAATTAGCTTGAAACTTGTTACCATCGTCATTAACAAAACAGGGTGGCTGGAATACGAGGAAAAATCCACCAAATAAATCCTCCAAGCACGTTTCCTACCAATACCAGCTGTCATTTCAAAGAGGGGTAGAACAAAAGTGTGATTTATGGATCACCTAAGGAAAACTTGAGAACGTTAGTAGTGAGGAACTCGAAAACAAGATAGAGAGTCAGACAAGCATGTAAGGAAATACAGCAGAAGGCCAAGCTTCGAGCAAAGATTGTGAGACCAAAGATGATGTTAATGACTTATGCCATAGAGAGTTATTTATTATTGTTTTCCGTTTTCAATTGTTTCGTTTTCATTATTCAAATAAATGTATTAACGTATTTTTATTATGATAAAGAATGTAGACTACTAACTCGCGAAAATCTATGAGGTGGTGGAAAAATATCTGATTTACTTTTTCATTTTGTGCTTTGCATACTATTCTGGGGTGAATAATAATAATGTTATTAAGATAACAATCATGCAACACTTTTCATTAAAGTAAACTTTGCAGGTACAACGTTGATATATTTTCAGAAATTACAAGCTTTTTAATTGATAATTATTTATTTAGTTGACGTTCAGTTGCGAATTGCAAAAATTGAATTTCATTAATTGTTATGGATACCAAACGTAGAATTGTAATTTTGAAAATAAACATTATAAATATTTTGCCTCTTTGAAATAATCAAAGGAAATGAATATTTTTCAATCAAAAAAGCCTGTTTTTGATAAAAAAAAAATATCATGAAAATTATCATGTTGATCTAATCTCCTCTAAAATCTCTTTCTTTAACGAATTGAAAATAATCTGTCAAAATTAACTCACCACAGGCTGCAGTCTTTGTGAGAAAATGTATGTTTATGTTATAATGTATAACATTAATGTTATCTTTGTTTAGGCAACAAAATTGACAAGATAGATTCAAAATTAGAATACTATTCTTTCACCTATATAACTGTACTACGAGAACCTTAAATAAAAGTTTATTATTATGTTTGAAGTTATTTTTGTTGAAGTCAATAATGCCACAGAATAGTGCTCCACACTATTAGTGTGTTATATTGATCTGTTGTAGGCCTTTTTGGATTTCCTTCAGCTACTTCCGTATTTACTCTTTATAATTATATCGAGTAGTTTCTTCGGTATTCTGTACTGTTTCTTTATGTAGAGACATGTGCCGACAAAGTTCATTCTGAGGTCTTTTCATCCATATTATGCCGTTTCTATGCATCGGACTGTAATTCTTTCTAAGAATTTTCCATTCTTGTTTTTCTATTTCTCTAATTCTTGAATGACCGTTAATAACCATTGTTTCAGCTACGCAGATTGCTTCTGGAAGAATCGTAGTCTTAAAATGCCTCAATTTGGCGCCTCTCGAAATGCACTTTTTGTTATAGTGAGCCCATGTTAGTTTGTAGGCCCTTTGGAGCTTGGTAATTCTCTGGTCATTCGCGATTCGGTTTAAATCTGAGGACTGTATAATTTCACCGAAGATTCGTGCTCTGTGAATAATGTGCATCGTTTGTTACGACCATATCATGGTCGTCATGATCGACCTGGTGAATCAACATTTCATGCTGTTATCACCAAATTTCGCACCAAGTTTACTTTGTTGGACATTAAACCATTGTCTCGCATGCGTACAGTGCGTACTGAAGAGAGTATTGCAACCGTAGCGTACAGTGTTAATGATGATTGTAAAAAGTCAATTCGTCGCCGTTCTCAGCAATTGGGCATGTGTTACTCAACCACATGGAAAATTTTACGTGTTGATTTGGGTTCGAAAACCTATAAAATTCAACTTCTGCAAGAATTGAAGCCAAATGACCTACCACAACGTCTAATTTGTGGCGAATGGGCCTTAGAACAGCTTAATAAAAATCCACTGTTTTATCGAAAAATTGTGTTCAGCTATGAGGTTCATTTCTGGCTTAACGGATATGTAAATAAACAAAACTGTCACATCTGGAGTAATGAACAGCCACATGCTATACAAGAATTACCGATGCTTTCCGAAAAAACGACAGTTTGGTGTGATGGTGGTGTTTATGGGGTTTATGAAGTTTTGTGTGGTTTAAGGGCTGGTGGCATCATCGGTCCATATTTCTTCAAAGACCACCGTGGAAGAAGCGTTACCGTCAACGGCGAACGATATCGAGCCATGATACGCAACTTTTTTTTGCCCCAGTTGGCTGAGTTGAACTTGGTTGACATGTGGTTTCATCAAGACGGTGCCACATGCCACACAGATCGTGAAACAATGGACATGTTGAAGGATGAATTTGGTGAGCAGCTTATCTCTCGAAATGGCCCTGTGAATTGGCCGCCAAGATCATACGATTTGACCTCTCTGGATTATTTCTTGTGGGGTTATGTAAGGTTGTTAGTGTATGTGTACAAGCCAAACACGATTGAAGCCTCACAGGATAACATAACACGCGTAATTTGTGGGATACAGGCCGAAATGCTCGAAAAAGTGACGCAAAATTGGACCTTCCGAATGGACCATTTGATACGGAGCCTCGGACAACATTTACATGAAGTTATTTTTAAAATGTAAATAGCAAAGACCAAGTTATGAATTTCAATAAAAATTTTGAATATATGATGAAAATTGAGTGTTTTATTCGATTTAAAAAAAAACTACGATCAAAAAATCACCCATATATATATATATATATATATATATATATATATATATATATATATATATATATATATATATATTATATAATCAATTAAAAATAATAAAAAGGCTAGTCACGGCACGTGTTTCGTATTCAATGGTGTCCATCAGAATGGAATAGCCAAGGTTGAATTCTACAAACTTGGAGATATGGCAACGTATAGCCATCTATATCGACAATTTGATTTTTAAATTCCAGTTTTCAAAAGTCTAACAGTAGAAGTGAAAACAATTTTAAATGAATTCAAAGTATTTTATTCCACTCTCTCTGTATTGAGTAATCCACTATAAATTTTTGAGTATCTTGTACTTTTACAGTACAAGAAACGCCTTATAAATCTCAACATTTCACTTTTACGGAAATACAGAACCAATCGTCAATTTAACTAACGAAATTGGAGAATGAATAATTATTTACATAGTTCAAATGTGAACCACACCTCAACATCTGCCGTGGAGTGGAGTATGGTGTGTATGTGTGCGTGTATATACCTACACCAGAGTATCAGAGTCGGACGCCACGCCGGATATAGAGAACCCAACTTCCGGAACTCATTTTACGGAGGACAAAGAATGGCAGGGCAATATTCCCCCACTTGGTTACAAGATAAATAACTTATATGTCTGCTCAATAAAACTTCATCAATTCGCAGCTGATAATTCTGGTTGGATTCTTACACATTTGTGTGAAATATTTCTAGTGGAAATTGAGGAGTAAAAGCTGAATGAACAAAGGAACAATGAATCAATAAATAGTTTATAGTTTTATGATCAAAACATCAAATACAACGTTATTATAGTTCTTTAAAATGAAAATAAACATTGTTGAATTGAAGACAATCTCTTTTACACTAATTAGTGTGAAACAAAGCTATTATAAGTACAGACGATCGAATAACAAAGTATAGAAGACATAGAGCCGCTTTAAACTAACTTCGGCTTTTTATGTATGTTGGCATACTTGTACCAAGCAACAACTGTAATTTAATATCTGTAATTAACATCAAAAAGTTAATTCTTCGTGTATAATTTATTGATATAGTAACTTTAAAATTTATGAAAAAAATTCAGTCAAATTTCTATAATATTGAATCTTTTATAATAATATTAGAAAATACAGAAGTTTCAACAATTACGTCATTATCTAGTAAACGTAAAAACAGAACACTAAGAAATTTATAGTTATAGTTTATATTCTTTATGAATTGCAAATTATGAAGCGTCTTTGTTAATATGCGCTTTTAGTTTCATGTGTTGATTCCGTATTGGGGAAAAACACGGAAAAAATATCTCAAAAACTACCTGACATTTTTAAATTCTAAATTTCTAAAAAAATCTATCTCTCGAAACAGTAGAACCAATATTTATAAATTTCCTAGAGCGTTGGGAACACGCCCTTAACGGTTAATTCTGGCTCAAGCAAACCTCGCTCATTTTTAACCTTCAATGGTTAAATATTATTTAATCTTATCAAACATGAAAATTAAAGATTGAAAAAATTCAGATATATACTGGATCGATAAATTGATAATTATTCGCGTTTTTCACTCCGGAGTCTTAAGAAGGTGATTAGATATTGAAGTCGTTGCCTCACTTAATGTTGGATGTGACACAACTGATGAGTTCCTTGTAGAACGAAACAGTCTGTCTGATCTGGCATCGATTTCAATATGCTCTAACACTTATGCCATCTCATTGTACATATTCACATAGCCAGTTTTATTATATTTTTTTGATTCATTCAAATTATTCGAATGAATATTCTCGTATATTCTTTCATAGTTCATTCAACCCCATTACCTTGATACATCTAAAAATTTTTCCCGATAGTGTAGAGCTACATCGAAGGCATGCCAACTTACTATCTGGGTTCGAACCCCGATTGAGACGTGGATTGTTTCTATTCGATTCTATTTATACTAAACGTTAATAACGGATAATATACGTAAATATAATTCCAGTTGCCGATCGAAACCGGCTTTTACTGGAGTTCTGATGACCACCGAATATAAAAATATTAAGGCGGTTGTCTGTCATTAAATGA